CTCCTGGTCATAAACTATGTAAAATTTCATTGAACTATATCAAACGCTACAAAACGCACCAAACGCTAACCAAACGCTCACAGACGGCCAAGACACTGATAACCGCCTATAAAAACGCTACTGACCAGACTAGCTCCTAGTCGTTAACTATGTTAAATTCCATTTAACTATATTATAAAATTACATGAACAGTGTATATTAAATTTTTTATGATCAATTTTTTGAATTGGGCAAATGTATGACTGTGTGATTATGTTGACACCTGACTCTTAAAATTTTTAGGTTGGGGCAGATGCAGTTGGAATGAGCACAGTTCATGAGGTGGTGATAGCAAGGCATGCCGGGATCAAAGTTTTGGGAATCTCATTAATCACTAATGTTGCTGTCATGGGTTATGGTGAGAATGGTACTGCTGCTAATCACATGGAGGTGCTAGAAACAGGAAAGAAAAGATCTGCCGACATGCAGAAATTGGTGTCAACTGTTGTGGGAAAAATTGAAACTGAAAAATAGTTTAAATTAACACACTTACATGTATTTAGGGTAAAAAACTGATTGTTTTTAGTGTAACATTTTCTCACAATTCACTGGCTGAGGGGTATATGCAGGGGATGGGTGAGTGGGTGGTGTGGTTTGACATATCTTGTAATTTGTGAATACATAGAATTCATTTGGAGTGAGCTCAAGTGCACTTAGCATGTTTGAAAAAAAAACATTGTGTCTGTATAAATCTGTGGAGCCTAGGTTGTTAAAAAAAATTATTCTTTTATAGCTTTTCTGTGCCTAGGGCATGATTTGGAAACAGTTACCTTAACTGGTTAAAACTGGTTATAACTGGTTACAACCAGTTATAACTGGTTACATACCTGCCAACTTTTTGCAAGTTGCAAAGACATAAGATTTTATCCTGGGAGTGCCAGGATTTTGTAAGATGACCCATTCATAACCAAAGACGTTCTAAATTATAATAATTTCTGAAGTTATATTTTGCCAAGACCTGATTTTGCCAGTACTTTTCTGTTCTAACATTGGAGAATCTGGATACAGGTACATACAGTCATTGGACTTTTCTTTATAATAAGTTACTAACAGTGATATTCTGCATAAATTTGTCAAATTTACAGTACATGTATTTCAGGCAAGGAGTTGGCAGGTGTATTCTTCGAGTGTCTCTTAAACTATACATTAAGTTTGTAAACATTTGGTTGTAGGGAGTGTGGTCAGGGGAAGGCCACTTAGCTCTCGTTATGGCTTGCCACTACTAGGAGAACACTAAACCTTATAGTGGCACACTGCTCAACAGTTATCATGTCACCACAAACTAAGATATGAAAGTTAGAAGTACCACTGACAGGCAATCGAATCAGAAGGTTTGATTTTGGGAGTTTAAGGTGAGCACCTGGTCCAGTGTTGTTCCTGTAGAAGGGTCCCTTAGTACTTTCTATTATGAATGAGAAATTGATTGTAACAGTAGTCCTTAGGTGGGGTGGTTACTGTATGAAATGCACCAACACATGAACAATTTGATCTCAACCAAAAGGAGTAAGGCTCTCCGGGCAACTGAGAAGTTCCATCCCATAAATAGGGCTACACCTAAGGGCAATGATTCAATTCTGTTGAACAATTTTCATATGGTAACTATTAAATTTGTCTATAGAATTTCTGTGGAGCAATGTGAAATATTTTTAAGGGGGACTCTCCTTTGGTGCGTTGAAAGGGTAATTTTTACAATTAGACTAGAACTGTACAAGATAGTAACATGCAAGAACTTGAAAGTAATTTTAGTTATATTACTGACAATTATTAATTAAAAGTAATCTTACCATATGGCTCATATTTGTAGCCAATATAATGTGCAAGTGGTTGACTAATTCTAGGGCATTATTTAGCTCTTATTAACCGAGCTGGAGGTCTGTATGGGAGAATCTTGACCAAGGTCGTGAGTACAGACCAAACGCAGTGAGGTCTGTACACACGACCGAGGTCAAGATTCTCCCATACAGACCAACTTACCAACTTATTGTATGGCAAAGAAGAAAACTTTAATTTGTTTAATGTGACTGGTTTGCTGACGTTTTGCTTGCGAACGGCGATGAGCTTAACATAAACCTGCCGAAATTTGCTTGTCCTCTTTTTTGTCATCAGGCTTTTTGTCACTTCCATAAATGATTGAGAAGAAAATAAAAGAAAATGGTGGACATTTTTGTATTTTAGTTTGCTACTTTTTCAACACAAAATGAAAGCGGTCTAGATGCTGGTCTAGATGGGAAAATCTAGACGCGGTCAGTATCAATTTCAGCCAATCAAATTCGTGAATACGGTAGTTCCCAATCCTTGTGAGACACAGCCATATAATAATCTCCTGTAATGCCCACAAGCTGATTTATGTGCTCGCAAAGACAAAGCGAAAAGCCAGAATAATAAACAACTTATTAACCTCGAATGTTTAGTCTTTACGGGAAAATCTGAAACCTTGCCCTTGCCGTATTGACTGAGCAAAGCGGCAAGGTCTCTGTTTGAGATTTTCACACAAAGACCTTACACTCAGTTAATAAATAGTTAATCTTACTAAGAAGTTGCAAATGAAAAATTATTAGACATGCAGTGTGTTTAACAGCATCTAATGATTATCAGTTATGTTGCATTTTTTACTAAATTAGTTAAATTGTTCCAAGAATATTCTAATTATTGCATGTTCCCTATGGAATTGAGTAGACTACCCCTTTGACTGCATTGGCTTATATCGATAAACTACTAGCGACTCACCTGTAGATTACCTTGACTGTTCGCTGACTGTAAACCTACAGTTAGGCAAACTTGTTTCATGACATGCACGAGAAAACCATCAGTCAACTGCCAGTTAACTGTCAGACGTTTCCTAGTTAACTGTTGATTGTCTATCATGGCCAACCAGGTTACTGGTATATCTTTTAATATTTGTAATTTATTCATTGTTAATAACCTAGCTTTTTGGTTGTTGTTACTATAAAAGGTGTTTTAAAGAGTGACTGGAACACTTCATTTGAACTGTTGCATAAGGGTAATATATTATTTTCTGCGAATTTTGCAACTATTATTTTAAAACCTGTTATACATTGTAATCACCTTTGTCGAATATAATATATTTTAAATGTCTTTAATATTTAATCTGTAAAAATAAAAGGATTATAAAATTATACAGTTTTGTTGTCTTGTACATTCTTCATTTACACACAAATGTCTATACTTGATTATTATTAGCATTTCTATGTGTGCACACTGTAATATGACTTGTGCTATGGAAAATATACAGTATACTTATTTAGTAAGAGGTATTTATCTTGGAGAATAAGGTGTAAATTAAACGAACAATTATTCTTGTCACAAGGTCTGAAAAATTCTGTAAACGAAGCTTTCGACTGTATCGCAGTCTTCATCAGCAATTAAAGTGAGCTCACGTTCTCGCATGAATGCAAATTGTTTAATCACGTGACAACAGATGGTCAAAAATGGAGGGAAGAACATAGCCCCCGTCTCTGTCCAGTGTTGGGCGTTGACGTCTGATATGGATGGCCTCCTTGATTTTCCTTTTGATATCTACCGACTCTTTATCAAGAATCTTGACTCTTTCCAAGTCACCACAAGATCAACTGGGAAGGAGTCAAGATTCTTGATAAAGAGTCGGTAGATATCGGTAGCACATGACTCATGGAATATCTCATAACTGAGTTATTTACCTTTATAATGCCTGTTCATGCATGCATCAAAGGCAAGGCTTTCTACCATTAGATGGCTGTTGACAAAAGCCACCATATACTTCATGATCTTAGCCAGCTAATTTGTTGGGCTATTCCTCTGATTTTCTACAAAAGGATGGCAAAATCCTGGGGGCAGGGGACTCCCATATAAACACAACAGGGGTGCTTTTCAGAAATTTTGAAAAGAACTCTAAGAGGTACTAAGATCCTGTTTTGTGGGCATGGCTTGAAAAATCAGTTGATTTTCAAATATCTCGTCATATTTTTTCAACTCAATACCCTAAAAGGTACCGCAAAAGCTCCTGCTGTGGACCTTTTGAGGCTGAAAACCCTAAGAGGTACCAAAACCGCTTTTTTATCCCCTAAAGGGTATGACGAACATCCCCGTCCTTTTTATATGGGATTCCCTCAGGAGGGGGGACGTGGCACAAAGTCACCTGCCTACTCCAAAAACAAAGCCATCTATTTGAAAACATTATGACAACCCTGTTTCCATTATATTTTATAGCCAGTCAGATTGTGAGTTTGTCAGCACTCTGCTGATATCCTAGCCAGTCTGTCTTGTCATGCAGCACACTCTACCCTAATGAGGGGATATTTCAGCAGATATTTGCATGACAGAGCCCCTCAATAGCTGTGTAGAAGACAAGCTAGGATACGTAGCAAGCTACTGGATTGCCAAAACTCGCATAATGTTCAGCTGTACCATCCTGAGTAGGTAAACCAATACAAATGGAATTTTGTGATCTATAATTTATTATTGATCATGCCAAGATAACTATGACTGCAAGATATTCTTTACTTTATTCTCTTCTCTTTTTCTCATTGGTTATCACTAAAACAAGGTCCTGTAGCCTGTGGCCTTATGTGTAGACCCACATGATGACAATTGATGATGGTCATATAGGTTGCAGAACAGGCTGAGTAGGGGGCAGAGAACAAAACATGATTATCAAGGTGTCACATGACAGGGAGCATGGAGTGTCACGCTTTTTACTCTGCCCTTTAATCCACCTGTTCTGTAGGCTGAGGGTTATGGTGCAGCATAAGTCCAAGCAAAAATACAATTTTTAACAGCTTTTGACAAATTCACCCAAACTCAATAAAATACATCTATACAAGCACCAAGAAACATCTTCTCACTGTTATGTTATCTTTTTGAAAATGTCTTGAATGTTAAATTATACCATTTTGAGCAAAACAGAGCACTAAAATTTCTGCATTTTCAAACATGAAACATAATTAATTCCATATTGCTTTACTTTGTAATATTGGCCAAAATTTGTCTGGACATGAATTTCTTTCATATTTTATTGTACAATAGGTATAATGTCATTCTGTGACATGCCAATTAAAATTTAAACATATCTCCCTAAAAATTTGTATAGAAATAAATAATAAATATATAAATTTCATTTTTTGAATTTTTGTCCATTTGAATTTGAAGAAAACAATGATCGTGGCATGTTCCCCTGGCCTGTATTCACAAGGTGCTGGCTACAGTTTCAAAACGGAGCCAGAAAAAAAAAATTAAGAACTCTGGCCATGAACAGTTAGTTCAAACTCTTCATCCTCCTCATCCTCGGGCAATGCTGAGTTATCTGGAAGCAGTCCTTTTAATTCAATGTCGCCATTTGACAGCTCTTCAATACTTTGAATTGAATTGTCTGGATCTGAGAAGGAAAATCTGTTCTTTAGTCTGACTGAACACCCAAATAATATATTCCAGCTGCAGCAATCAGGTTTGACCTTCTTGCCATGTGGGTCATACAAATGCGCAGGGTTTTGGGATACTAGGCTATAACTGGGGTAGTGGGAGGGGGGGAAGGGTACCTGGGATAGCTTACAACTGGGGGACATACACAGTGGAGAGGGTAGGGAAGGGGGAGGGGTTGTGATCACATTTCATGCACAAACTTTGACAAAGAATTTCTTAAGAAATTCCTGAATCATGTGGTCTTTTAGTTGCTTTTCACATGTCAAACACTATTTTTTTTTGTTAACTTCATTGGAGAGAGGAGGACCTACCTGGGGTCTTACAACTGGTGGGAATACGTGTACTTCTTTCTCAGCAGACAACAGGGCCTATAATCAGGGCCTTGTTCATGTAGGTGGGATTTTGCAGCGGTGGTGCATTTATGTGTACATAGAGTGGCACCTACCTTTTGTTGCCTTGATCACCACATGGACACTTATTCCAATGAGACAGAGTACAAGCCCAAAGAAGTTCACAGTAGTCATTTTATCACCAGCAAATTCAGTGGCAAGAGACAAGGTGCAGATTTCCTAAAAATTAAACAAAATATAAAAGACTTCTTTCTTCAAAATATAAAAGACTTCTTCTATAAAAGATTTCTTCTGGCTACGCTCTTGGAAATATGTGTTACTGACCAAGCATTAGGCCAATACAAGGTGGTCACAAAGTTTTCAAGTACGCAGCTTTATTTGTTTGAGTAGGCAGCTGATTTTGCAATCTGTTCTAAACATGGATGAAGTCCTATAGAAAAAAGATGAGCTTACAAGTTGGAAATTTTGAAAAACCCTAAGAGGTACCAAGATCCTGTTTTGTGGGTGTGGCTTGAATTTTTTTCACCCTAAGAGGTACCAATTCTTAAAAAAAACACATCAACTGATATTGACCTTTTGTAACTCAACACCCTATCCTTGGTGACAAAGTGGTTAGCTACTGTGCACTCTGCATCAAGCAGTCTGGGTGTGAGCCCTGGTCAGCATCATTTGCTGTAAGTTGTGGTCTTGGGCAAGACACTTTACTCTGACTTTGTCTCTCTCCCAACAGGCATGTACAAATTAATGCAAACAATCCACTACTCGATCCCTTCACACTACAGAAACCATGTCAGTAATAAGTCCATCTTAAGGGTTACTAGGCTCTAGCCTGTGTGGCAGGCTGTAGAAGGGGAGGGAAAAGGTCAAAAGGAGCGCAGGAGTTTTGGGAGGAGAGGAGGAGGGAATGCTCGTGCGCTTTGTGCACTAATTTTTTCCCCTTTCCCTCCCCTTCGACACCTGCCACGCAGGCTATAGGTTCAAACACAGGCTTTACCTTACCCCACCCATGGATCTCACCTCACCTTAAATATCCCTGAAATAGTGAGTGTTAAACTTGACGTGTGAGACAGCAGCAGAAATTCGGCAACACTGATCATGAAAGCCAGGAAGCAGCCAAACATTACCATGGCAATGGTAACCCAGAGAGTAGAACTATCATGTGCACTGAACAGTTGAGGAGACAAGGCTAAACGCTGTCCTGCAATAAACAACAAAGTGCAATAATCATTCTGTCTCTTCTTACTGGCTGAGTGTCATCACTTCCAAACTCCTTGGTCAGCCTCTGCAGCAACCAAACTACATGTAGTCTGTCCAGGATTTCAGACCATCTCCATCTGTAACATTTTCCATGTTTTTTTTTCTATGGACCACCTCTTTTTCAACTTACTACTCTTTGGCCTTTTTATAACAACTTTCATTGACTTTTTACCTTCAATATAAAAAGCCAGGGGCATAAGTGTTAACGTCATAAATGGCTGGAGATGATACAACGTGTCAAGGGGATTGTGAAGACCTGTGAAATAGACAGAAATATATGGATGTTTTTAAAACATGAAATGATGAAATTTGAGTCCAGTTAGCCTAAATATAACTCAGGTCAGCCTTACGAAATAGCACACAAGTTATAGCCTATCACTGACTTGAAGGGGGTTAGCTCTCAGTAACTATTGTGTGCCATATCCCACATTGTTTACATGCCATTTCATCATTTTGCCATTTTCTCTTGTAATGATAATTATAACTACATTCCAGAAAGTATTCATAACCCTTCCATGGAAGGTCCCCCTTCCCCAGCCAATCTAGAGGTTCCAAATGATATATCTTGAGTTCATACTTTCCATTCCATGGGCTGGGCTTATGACTGCAGGAGGAGGGAGTTTCTATATATTTGATATATTTTACATTATGTACCTGAGACTGATACTATATACAGTGTAGTATTACCTAATTCTGCTTTTTGAGTTAAAATCTGAGCCAGTGTCCATCGCAAACCACTCAGTGCTGAAGCAGTCAAAGCCTGTAATAGCAACACAAATAACATAATTGTATAAGTCAGACTAAATCATACCAACAGGAACTTTTTGCATCATTGTTGACAATAAAGAACAGAGAGTTCACAAGTCAGAGCCATTTTCTTTTACATTGTGATTGCTAACAAGAAACCAGGGAACAATAACAAACAAACCAAGCCATTACCAATGACAAAGAGAAGCGTAATCAGTAAATAGTTTTCTTACTTAATAATATTAATGCTTACGTGATATGTAGAAAACTAAGCTATGTAATGATCTATTGATTTTCAAAGACCTTACCAAAGATCCTAAAAGATATTAGAGATCTTTCAATGAACACTCAAGGATCTTATAAAGATCTTAAACAAGAGATCCTTGGTATAAAATGACAAGGATTCTAACCCAAAATCTTGGCAAAGATACTCGTAGTTAGCAGAAGTTGTGAAGATCTTTACAGTTCAAATTAGGATATCTTAAGGTTTTGATAACTATTTTATCAGGATAAAAATTACAGGTAAAGGTGAATGTAACTATTGACTGAATTTTATTTTAACACAGCAATAAATTTATCATACTTACAAATTGTATGGATCAGACTTACCAAGACAAAGCCTTGAGCATTGAATTCAGTCGCCTCAAAAGTGAACAAAAACAAACCACTGGCGATTAACAGAATGATGGCCATCAGTGAAAAGTTCTGTCCAAGATAAACAGATCAGGTAAAAAAGTGAGCTGAACCTTCTAAAGAGATCAAAGGTTCCAAGCAGTGCAGATTGAATTCTTAATTAATAGTAAATTGTTTGAATGCAGGGTATCACCCCAGGGGGACACCTATGTAAAAAGGTCAGGGGATGCATGTCAGAAAATTTAAATTAAATCCTTCCAGGGGTCTGACCAATCTGGGTGTGGTTCAAGCTTTATTTGAACCCTAAAATATACCACTTAAAAATGGTCATGTGAGAATTTTTAGATAATTTATTTGAGTACAACCCTAAAAGATATCTTCAAGGCTAAACCTACAATCATGGACAAAAGTGGTGACACATTTGAGCAAAATAAACACTTCCTATCGGCATCCTTCCGTAATTTCAAAAGAACATCTTTTTTGTCGATAGCCAACCCCCCC